AATGTGTAAAAACTGGCCAATATCAAAGGGAACCAATTACAATACATTAAATTATTTGATTTACTAACATCAAAGTACCAAACAAGAGATTTTCCTGCTTGTATCTAACAATTATCTGACCTGGTGCCATGGATTTTTGGGTTCCCCATTTGTAGCTTAATGTAATAAAAGAGTCCATCTGAGAAAATGCATTGAAATTCTTGACTAAAAAAAAAAAAAAAAAACACTCAAAAAGCTGAGCACTATTTCGTTTTTATTTTCTTTATTTTTCTTTTCCTTTTTTAACTATAACCTATGCTCGGCTGCCGACACAAAACCAAGAAATAACTCTGGGATCTTAACGGATATGATCTTTATCACTGCTGTTATTCCCACCCTTGGTCCTGACACTTCACTCAGTTCGGTTAAAATCAGACTCAGCCTGTCAAAGCATTAAAGAAAACCAAACATAATGCCAGCTCTTATCGTCTCTCATCTCAAGAGGTAAAATCAACTCAAAATGCATCACAGGCTGCCTCTAGGCATCAGATGACCTGTCTTCAGATGTCCCTGAACGTTCAGTTCTCCTCACCCACTCAGAACGCACTGACTGAACCTGATCAGAGAACATGTGTCATTTACACGGGCTGAGAGAACAGTGTGCCATTTTGAAATGGACACGCATACCACTTGTGTTTCCTTGAGCAAAACCTCTAATCCATAGGACTCACTGCCTCCCAAAGCAGAATAAAACAATAAAAATACTGGTACATAGTTTTTTACTTCATTTCAAAGAGCACAAGGCCCTTTGGAAGCCCAGTGGAAAATCAATGGCCAGAATAATGATGCAGGCTTGTGTTGGCTTGAATCTGTGCTTTGCATTCAGTGTCATCCTGAAAACAGATTGGATGAGAGACCTCCATCACCCACATTAAGTAATTTCACTCAGTTACGTTCATTCTTTTTTCCTACTCTCTTCTTCTGTCTCTCCACGTATATCCAGGTAATGATGTTAGTGGGCTAGTTTGTGCACAGAAGCACTAGGGAGAGAAAAAAAGCCAAAGACATTGAGTTCATTCATAATTATGTTAACTGCGTAAATAATAATTTGCTTATTATGTTCAGTGAGAAGGATCTCGATATACAATGTATTTATAAAGCTATTGTATAATTCAGTACAAACAGAAATATTGTGAAATACTCAAATTTAAAATTCCTGTATTCTTTTTTTGCAATAGCGTAAAGCTGAAATCCGCAGCTTTTTTGGGTTAAAAATGATCCAAAATACATTGAGAAAATACTACAGCCAGTGTTAAACACTCTCTTAACTCAATTCAAAGCAGTAAGCTTGTAATAATGTTTTATCTCCATTGGTACTGGTGGATTTCTGCAGGAGATTCAGGCATGTCTTTGCGTCATTACGTCACATCTGTACTCATAAAGGAGGAGTCTCGACTAGTAGGCTATATTGTGTGTGAGGATGTTGGAGGTGGAGATTCATAACCTTTTCTCACACCACTTGATATAATTACACATATTAATTTGATGGCAGACCCAGAAAGGTTCAAACAACAATCACCAGTGACAACAGATTCACCAGCTGTAAAATGCAAAAGACTTTGGACTGCAACCGGACCCATGCGAAAACAAGGATACATTTCTGAAGGGCATTAAGTCACGCAATGCTGATGTTTTTAACATTGATAATTTGAGAACAAAGTATAATTTGCATGGTTTGACGTGATATGATAAGCGATTGTTAGATTTAATCAGCTTGATTTACTGCAATGCTTTATTTTTTTATTTTTATTTTTTTTGAATGTTACTTATTTGTTCAGATGACATAAGATGTTGGTCATACTTCCAATAAGTAGAATCTGTGATTCAGAATGACAGTATCCACACCGGCACAGTGACTGACAGCCGCACATTCTCCTCAAAACATTGGATTCATCTGCGCTGTACCGTGCCGAGGCACAACCCACGTAAAGTGGATAGTTCTGAGAGTAACTGCAATTGCAAATTTTGAACAGAGATGGTGACAAAGAGGAACAACTGTGGACTGCAGCTTTAAAATGTAATTTCAGTGTCTTATGATCCTTCAGAAATCATTATAATGGTGATTTGGTGCTGAAGAACACTTCTTTCAATGTTAAAAATGTGATTTTTCAGGATTTCTTGATGAATATAAAGTTACAAAGAACCTTTGTTAATTTGAAATATGAATATGTTTAACATATTATCCTAAATGTCAATTTTGATCATTAAATGTGTCTTTGCTAAATAAAAAGTTTAACTGAACACAAATTGTTATGAATATTAGTGTTTAATTTTAAAAAGTATAAATATATGAAAAATATATTTATAAAGACATTTGCATATGTGTGGTTAGTTCTAAGTATTATACTAAATTTGGAATACATTTAAGTCCAAAGTCATTGATAGATTTTGCACACAAAAAAAATGTGATTTCAAAAACAAATCCAGAATACACAACTTTTTTTGTGACTAATGAGGTGCTTAGTGGTCCATGGGATTCCCTTCAAGTGTAATTATGCCGGAGCGGAAAGTACTTGCACTTAGGGGAGATAAAAGTATTTGTAAAGCTATGTAAGTACAGAAAAAGAGAGGTATAAGCGATCAATAATTAATTTACTTTCAACATTCAGGGGCAATTAACAGACACCCCCCCCCCCCACCCCATTACAATCTACAAAGCCACATGCTCTCCCATATTCTGACTGACCAGTGTGACAATCACGGATTACCCAACCACAAAATCGATAGACTAGGATAGGAACCACTCCACTTTTGTGCAATTAAATCAAATGGTTCATGTCCTGAAATGCACAAAAGGAATTTGTGGAGGTAAAGAACTTGTGAGCCTTGCAATGGGGAATTTGAACTGCAAAGCATTTTAGACGCCTTGGTTTTGAATGCTATCCTTGATGAACTACATTTTTGGCTCTTCTAATATTAACCACACATGTTATAAAGGTTTCATCAAGTGCATTCAAATATGCATGATATATTAGGAACAAAATTATTATTATTTTTTTTCAGTTCTTTTTTGAAACTGTCCATTCAGACACATGCTTTGCACATACAAAGCATTGTCTGGGTATGTCTTCCATCTCAATGAAAAGTAGCACAGCTTCTCAGCATGTGTGCTATAGCCATCAACTATTGACTTTCAGATGTTGTACTGTCTCTCAGTCAGCCAAGAAGAGATCAAGTCAAAAATTCCAGTCACTGTCAAGTTAAGTGCAGATAGGGATTTATTCTCTAAAAGGTATAAGGGAAAGTGTAAAGATGTGGTACAAGATATACAACACAAGGTTATAATAAGCTCCACATAATGTGCAGCACTCCTCTTGATGTAGAGTACTCTCTCTCTCTCTCTCTCTCTCTCTAGCTGTCTAGCGCTCTCTCTCCCTCTTCTTCAGTACACTACTCAAGTTCCCATGCTGGATGCTGACAGTTGCCTGCAGCATTCAAGAAAAACTAAAAACAAAAAAAAACAAAAACAGTTTGAGTGATTTGGGGGAAACTGGCTTCTATTTACAGATATCGCCTTCTAGTGTGTATACCCATGAGAGCAGCAGTTCCCTGATCAGAATCCAAATGGTCCGGTCCTTTACAATCATCACAGCCCCTTTAGAGAAACTGTAATCTACCGCTCAGCTCATCATGTGTCAAGACTGACCTCTGCTGTTACCTCAGTGCATGCACTCATATCCAGTATATATATATATATGAAGAGTTCAGATGCTGAAGCCTCTAAATGCCATTTGAAATTTTCTTCTTTAATGATGATTTTTATCAAACTTGTATATTTAAGTTCAGTAATTTCACTTAAATAACAATTAATAGGTAATTATCATTGCCATTTAAGTGAAATCACTGAACTTAAATATACAAGCTTGATAAAAATGATCATTCTAGTAGAAAATTTCAAATGGCATTTAGAGGCTTTTGCATCTGAACTCTTCATATATATATATATATATATATATATATCCAGAGGTTACTGTATGTCAGCCGTATGCGATCCGTACCTTGGACAGCGTCTCTGTGAAGGCCTCGTCGATGTGACAGCCGTCAGCACAGATCCTCAGCAAAGACTATAAGAATCAGACAAGTCCTTTGCACAGACCCTAGCTTTGGCTCTACCTGTGTGATTTGAATCCGATCTTCAAGCAAAAGGATCTGGATGACATATTTGAATGCCAATCCAGAATCTGATTTCTGACTTGTGATGCAGCTTTAATCACAATGGCACTGTTCGTTTATTGGCCAGAGGAGAACTGGCCCCTATGAGCCTGATTTCTCCCAAGGATTTTTTTTTTTTTTTTTTTTTTTTTTTTTTGCATTCTGTCACCTGATGGAGTTTGGGTTGGCTTAGTTTCATTCACTTAATATTCAACAATATTACTGATTTTACTGCACTACCACATCACCGTTTATCCGCAGAACTGTTTTATAGATTAATAATTGATTTTTTGGAACTGAATCAACTCTGAACTGATTTCATCTGAACAATGACACTTTCTTTTAGAGATGCTAGCTGAAACGAACTCTGTTCGCGTCAGTGAATCATTTTTTTCTGTTATCACTGTAGCTGCTTTGAAATAAAATCTGTATTGTATTAAGCGCTATGCCTAATAAAGATGACTTGACTTGACATTGACATTTTTGTCATCTAGTTGTGTTTATATTTTAGAGGCTCTGTAAAGTGAGTTCTAGAAAAGTGATATTATTTTTACATTAACATCAAGCAGTAACAAAAATGTAAAACAAAATGTAAACAGTAAAATATGGCAAAACTATTAGATCAAAATATTTAATTTAACAAATATAGGCCCTAAATTAGAAAATTGTATATAATCTTAAAAATAAACAAAAGCATTTGAAATGTGTGCTATTCTTTTTTCTCAAGAATGTTGACACGAACGCCTCTATCGTCCAAACATGGTCATTACATTACTTCCTTTTTACGACAGTCTGTGAGCCGGTGTTCATTTACGGCAGTGTGGCAGGAGGCACATGTGTTTCCAGAGTCAACAGCGTGCTCGTTGATAGTCCAACCGGGCACATTTAAAGGTAAATTGTCCTTTTCACTTTTCAGTGCACGTTTTAGAATAACATATGTTTATGTAGAATACAGTTAGGTGTTATTTATCTATAAGTTATTTGTATTTTTGCAATCGGAGGTATTAAATGTGCTAAAAAGCTAACCTCCCTGGTTCACCATGGTCGACAGTACGTTAAGTTTCTCCAGTTACAACAACTGTTATTTATTTCATGTAAGATATGATAAGGGAAGTTTTAAAATCTTCTAAATTTGCATCATATCTGTATATGTAACGTTACTCTTTTCCTCCAGGGTTTGTTTGGATCATCATCACATCGTGATGATTAAACTTCACATTGACTTACCACTTAACACCACGTTGCCCAGTGTAATCAGCGATTCTTTTAACGTTATGTGTTTTACAGGATCTTTATCATGTCATTCCGCGGGGGTGGTGGTCGAGGAGGGGGTCGTGGCGGTGGTTTTAACAGAGGTGGTGGTCGTGGAGGTGGATTCGGAGGGGGTCGTGGAGGTGGATTCGGAGGGGGTCGTGGAGGTGGATTCGGAGGGGGTCGAGGAGGTGGAGGTCGAGGTGGATTTAACAGATATCAAGACTTTGGTCCACCGGAACATGTTATCGGTAAGTTATATTGCTTTCTTTCGTGCCTTTGTTTGTATTTGCATTCTCTTGCAACTGCTTGTATCATGCAATAAATTGTATGCTCTTCTTGTCTCAGCTGTGGGAGAGTTCCTGCACCCCTGTGAGGATGAAATTGTCTGTAAATGTGTGACGGAGGAAAACAAAGTCCCCTACTTCAACGCTCCTATATATCTAGAAAACAAAGAACAGATTGGAAAAGTGGATGAGATCTTTGGCCAGATTCGTGATTTTGTATCCTTACATGTATTGCCCTTTATGTTGACAGTGCTGTCACCTTTTACAGCGACTTCAAAACTTAATAGTTATAGTTAGGTGAAGTGTTTTTGCGTAATTACAATTATAAACCCAGTCCCAGACAGCAACATGGTGTTGGCCCACATCTCGGCCTTGTGGAATAACTGTGTATCAGATGTGAGCTGACACTATGTTGCTGTCTGGGAAAGCCTACTGTATTGTATTTGATACATGAATGTCTAAGGCCAATTATTATCAACATGATCAAAAGCTTGCTGGTAAACTTCTGAACACAATTGATAGGTTATGTGTGTGCATATATTACATTTTATTAGCAAGTAAAAAGCCTTTTTGTATAAATGTAAAAATAAAATAAATAATGTGCTACAATTGTGTTTGCTGTGAAACTAATAATTTGACATAAAATAAATGTAAGAATAGCTTTCATAGTGTTATTAATTTTTCAAATCAAATGCTAAACCTTGTATTATTCTTTTCCAAAGGTTTAATACAATTTCCACTAAAATAAGATTTTTTCTGAATGTAATTTCACATGTCAGGCTTTATGGGATTTACAGGATTAATTGTTTCCTTTACAATTTCGTCAGTATTTTTCAGTCAAACTTTCTGAAAATATGAAGGCATCCTCCTTCAAAAAGTTACAGAAGGTAAGCTCGTTCTTTTATTTTCTGGATGTGTAATGTTTTATATATCAGTAATGTGTGGTGAAATCTTGTCATGGGTAGGCTGTGACATATCAATGTGGTAGGTCCCATATTCACAGGGGTGTAATTTGCCACTGCGATTGGTTACAGTGTATATCGTGGCTCACGCAGTCTTCACATGCACGTGCGCTTCAATCCGTTTCGGAGACTCTTTGTTCGTTCCGGTGAACCTGCAAAACAAAAATGCACACAAACGTGTCCCTGCTTAATATAATACAACCACTGATGAACGTATTTGGTATATATATGTAGAATGATGCAACACCACATAACTTTTTCCTTTAAAACTTTAAGCGGTCTTCTCAAAAAAAAAAAAAAAAAAAAATATATATATATATATATATATAACACCCCACTGCTTATTTTTATTTCAAATATTAGACAATGATCTGTGTTCTTTTAGGATATCCATAATTTAGAAGCGGATATTGCTAAAGAAAATATCAAAGGGATTCTTATGAGCCTTTAAGCAGTTTTAGCGGCTTCCTTCGGCTGTTCTGCATCTTCAATGCATCATATTATGATAAGGACTATTTTAATTAACTTTCTCTCCCCTTGCATCAGTTCTACATCGACCCCATGAAGCTGCTGCCCCTGCAGAGATTCCTCCCCAGGCCCCCGGGTGAGAAGGGGCCGCCCCGTGGAGGTAGAGGAGGAGGAAGAGGTGGAAGAGGAGGTGAGACTACACAAGAGAAAAAAATTATAAATATGCTGATTGGTTCAGTTTTATCATTATCTCTGGTAATAACATCTATTTAATTAACATTGAATTGTGTAGCATTCATATTGTGCTCTACACAATGAATCCTAAAACGAGTGTTGTATTTGCAGGGGGCTTCCGTGGAGGTCGTGGAGGATTTGGCGGACGTGGAGGTGGCAGAGGTGGTGGTGGGTTCAGAGGAGGCCGAGGTGGAGGCGGTGGACGTGGATTCAGAGGTAAGTTAGTTTGCTGATCCTCAGAAGTTAATAATGAAATTGGATAAAAGTACTTAAAGGAGTAGTTCACTTTTCAAAAAACTTTTGCTGATAATTTACTCACTCCCATGTCATCCAAGATGTCCATGTCTGTCTTTCTTCAGTCGAAAAGAAATTAAGGTTTTTGATGAAAACATTCCAGCATTTTTCTCCATAATGCACTTCAATGAGAACCAAACGGTTCAAGGTCCAAAAGACACTTTCAGTTTGTACTGACACTTTTCAGTACAAACAATTTGCTTGATAAGGCCATTATTCATTTTCTGGAATTGTTTAAAGCCCTTTGAACAGTTTGCAGTTTGTACTGTTTGTACCAAAAATGCTAATTTCATCATTTGCTCCCCTTCATGTATTTTCAAACACATTCCTTGGTTACCCTTCAAAAGCGTTCGATAAAATTTGACTTTTTTTTTTTTTTTATATATATATATATATATCTCATATCGCACCAATACAAAACTTTTGTTTGAATATATTTTTAAGTATAATTCAATCCATTCCTGTGATGTTACATGATCTTTAGAAATCATTCTAATATGCTGATTTTGTGCTTAAACATTTCTTTTTAATTGTATCAATATTGTTCTGCTTAATGTTTTTGTGGACACTGTGATCAGTATTTTACAATGAATTGAACGTTCAATGGTTCCTGAACGTTTAATGGTAATTTATAAAGTATGAATGCATCTGAGCTGCTCTTTTCCATTTCCATTGTAGTTGTAACACCATGTTTTTTTTTTTTTTTCTACTTTCTTTGCAGGTGGGAGATGATGGACTCATAGGCTGGGATCTGTCCCAGGACTGTTAATTAATGGCTCTCTTGTACAGCTGAACTTTTTACTTTTTGTATTATAAATGGATTTTCTCAGCAGTGGATTTTTTTTTTTGATCAACTGATAAGGACTAATGTTTTAAGCCACGTCTGTGTACAAGAGGACGGGAGTCTCCACAACCTTACGTGGTGTATCTACTTGCGTTTTTACATTGGCTGAAGGTTGGACCAGTATCTACTTGAACAACGTAACCAGTTGTGTTATGTAGTGACAAAATGGTGAAGCTAACTCCACAAATAATGATGTAAAACATTTTCATTGTTGGATAATAATGGATGTCTGTATTTACAGAATTGCAAATTGTTTCTGTTGACCTCCAGATGCCACCATACACTTCCACAATAAAATGCTAAATTCTCAACTGTAGTTTTGTTTTTGATCATTTTGTGATTCAGCAATGTGTTAGCTATTGATAAAGTGTAGATATTGGATTGTGACATCTAGGAGAGATTAAGTCTGCAAACCAATCAGTGATTGTCTATTAAAGGCAATGTCTATTGTGATCAACAGTTATACAGTGTTTAGTCAACTTTTTCAGATCTTCAGCATAGAACCAGACAAAAGTGGGAATGTTATCTAGATTTTACTTGGAAAAGCAATGGTGCTGCTGACTACAGCTTAAAGTAAATAAAAATGTTAAGAAATTGGAAATACAAATAAATGGCAAAGGATTGCCAAAGCTTATTGTAAAAACAGTGGTGTGTTTTTGCTGATTGTATATTTAAAAGTTCCTAACTGCATATGTGATTTGTTGTGTTGTGATTAGTGGGGCTGGTGTGACGTCATAAACCGGAAGTATAATTCGCTTCTTGTTCCTTTTGTAAGAAAATCCGCCTTTCCTCGCATAAATGAGATAAACTCTTCCCTGATGGAAAACGTTGTGTTTTAGCATAAATGTAGGTCTTTGTTGAATGACATTTTCTCCGTAAAGCGTACGTAAGCTTATATCAGTTTACAGTGTAGAAACCATCATGCTTTGACAGTCTATTTTTTTTTTTTTTTTTTGAGTGTCCAAAAAAGCGCTATACAAGTGTGATGTATTATTATTATTATTTTCTAGTTAGAGTGAATAATACTGGTCTTGTCTACCAGGTGAAAAGATCTATTGCAAAAGCGCTGCATGCGCTGAGAAAAACAACGTACTTTGCTCAAGCGTAACCACATTCTGGTCTCTCATTGGTGGAAGAAGGAGTTCTTTAGTTTGCCACGCCTCTCCTTCTCTTTCTCTCGTGGTGGAAGAAAAGCATGTACACAACTGGGAAAGTAAGTGAGCTGCGAAATTTGCCCTCGCACTACAACTACGTAAAGTATTAATAGCATACATTTATGCGCGTTTAATTTACACAAATGTGCAACATTTGTAAATAAAAAAAAGCATCGAGTGTCAAGACAGCGCTGTTCAGTCAGAAACGCTCTCTAATTTGTAGCAGGACTTGTGCATGATAGATCTAGGTATACAAAGATCTATTGTGCTGCTTTGACCTGTTTTCCGTTGCCCTTGTTTTTTTTTGTTTCCAGCTTTGTGATAATGCATGCATGCATGCATTAAAGATCAGAAACATGTTATTTTAATCTTTATATTGTTGCATTCAACGTCTTTCAGATCCACAGCATGTGAATAGAGATTCACAACATGTTTATGTTTTTGCTAATTTTGCTATACATGACTGTATTAAACATCACTTAGTTTGGTGTTTAACTGCATCTCGTCCTGCACAGCATCTACATAAAGTCCTCTAAAGTAGTGATTTGCATTTAACCTTATTTTTAGGTGAAATATAGTTTGCAAGCATCTATTCTAACAGTGTTTATGAGCTAATAGCTTCTTTGATTCATTCTCAGGTGATCAAATGTAAGGCAGCAGTGGCCTGGGAGGCTGGTAAGCCTTTTTCCATTGAGGAGGTGGAGGTTGCTCCACCTAAAGCCCATGAAGTTCGAGTGAAGGTACAAATTATTAATCTGAACTTTGTACCTCTTGACAAAAGCAATATTTGATGTGCGTGCATAGAGTGCATATACAACAAGTACTTTGGTGTTCCTTAAAATCTGTGTATTTAAAGTCACCATGAAATCAAAGTTGACAAATCTTGTTTTTTTTGTTTTTTTTTTGAATATTGCAGTGTTAATTATGATTTATCCGTGCACGTCTTTTTTTCAAAGTCATGTGCCCTCATAATCTAATCACAACTTCCCCTCCCTCTTGCAACATCATCTGTTCTCTGATGATGTGTTTACTGGTGTGAGGGAGAGACAAACCTGTCACTCACATGAGATCACAGCAATAGCAAACCACAACCATCCAATCATTGTTTGAAAAGCAGTTTCACTCAGATATGAAATAGGGGAAACATTTCAGTTTCATGCAGCCTATAATATATGTATAATTTTGAGATTTTTTTTATAAATAGCCGCGTTTCCATTACCCTTCAAATTGCGCAAATTGAAGTTGGTTTTTCAGGCAAGTCTGCAACAGGTTTTGCGCACCTGGCTTAGAAGACGCGGTGTGTTTGGAGTCCGTGTCCGCAAATAATAATAATAATTATCGTCATTATTATAACATTTATTAGGCTAAATATGTAGAAGACACTTTTATCTAAAAAAAAGAACAAAGCTGTTCATCACATCTCATTCATAATACAGGTTGGACAACAATAATACAGGGCTAAGTTTATCACAAATAAATAAACACAAGATTTGGAAGCATGTTCAAGTAAGCCTGGTAAGCATCCAAGTGTGTGTGCAGAGCGCACTGGACGCCAGGGAGGCATGGGCACGAACACTTGCATTTTCCTATCAACATTGGAAACAACATATAATACTTTCATACATATAATCATTTCTGGTCATACAGAAAAATAATAATACATTATTCGCAACTACTTTTATTTGCGTAAACCCACAATAACAAGAAAACTTTGTGCTTTTGTAAAATACAATAAAACAATCAGGCTCCTCATCACTGTGAACTGAAGCACGAGAAACAAAATATAGCCTAGTATGTAGGCTAAAGGTTGAAACGTTTGCTTTAAAATGAGCTAATACCTAATAAGCTAATACCTTTTTATTATGTAATCCATATGAAAGGTGCATTTCTCTCTAAAGGTGCATCCGGAGATGGAGATATGTTTTCAGCCGACACTGATTTAGAAAACAATAGTTTATTAATACAATTAAAACGCTTTCTTCTGGAAGAGAATCAATCAAAACTAACTTTAACTGGAAAATAACTTATTAATTAACTATACTAATTTACTTATTCACTATAACTAATTTTAGAGCTGCCATAAAGCCAAAACAATCTGTTACTTCAATTTATTATTTACCTATCATCACTCTAAAGCCACTTTGGAACAATCTACATTGTTAAAAGCGCTATATAAATGGAGATGACTTGACAAGATTTCTCCTTTTAATTGCACCAGCTCTGCTAAAGCTGTAACAAACCGGCTTGCAGCTGCACCTTGTCAAAGCACCATGTTTTCTGACAGATTTACACAGAGCACGTTCAGTTTTGACCCTGCTGTCTTCAGTGTCTTGTGTCATGCATGATTATGTAGAAGTGTTGTGTTTATGATTGTTCTTTATTACAAATAATTAAGCAATCACCTCATGTATAGAGAAAAATGTTTTGTGCTTTGAATACTACTAATAATATAGATTCAAATATAATGGTGAGAGAAGTCTTGCGTGGTTGTGTGTTTCAGATTCATGCTACAGGTGTGTGTCACACTGATGCCTACACCCTGAGTGGAAGTGACCCTGAGGGCTTGTTTCCTGTCATCCTGGGCCATGAGGGGGCAGGCACTGTTGAGAGTGTTGGCGAAGGGGTCACCAAATTCAAACCAGGTATGTCAAAATGGGCTATTTACCCTCACTTCAGTCAGTGACATTTATTGTGTAAAATGTGAGCAGTTTTGGAAGATAAGCTGAAATCCTGAAGCTCTTTCACTTTTTGTGAAGGTGATACTGTTATTCCACTTTATATACCCCAATGTGGAGAGTGCAAGTTTTGTAAAAATCCTAAAACCAACCTGTGTCAGAAAATCAGGTAATTATGAATCTATTTTCTCTATCTCCTTTATGAAAATACGCTACCATTCAGAAGTTTGAGTTCAGCATGCTGAAAAAAGTGATCAAAAGTGACAGTAAAGAGACTTTAAATTAATTTTGTTCATCAAATAATCCTTTAAAAAAAATCACGTTTCCACAAAAATATTTAAGCACCATGACTGTTTTCAACATTGATAATTTTTCTTGAGCAGCAAATCAGCATATTAAAATGATTTCTGTACATTCACTGGACTAACTGGTTGCATCACGTTTAAAAAAAAAAAACTATTAAAATAGAAGTTATTTTAAATTGTAGTAATACATCATGTCTTGCTAAACATTAGAGATTGACCCAGACGTTTTAATGGTTGTGTAGTTCTTGTTATTGTTCATACTAATTGTCATTTGGTTCAAAGATGCTCAGTTGTGATGCAATTCTTTTAGGGTGACCCAAGGTCAGGGTCTGATGCCCGATAACACCTCCAGGTTCAGCTGTAAAGGCAAGCAGCTCTTCCACTTCATGGGTACCAGCACCTTCTCCGAATACACTGTGGTGGCAGAAATCTCTTTGGCCAAAGTGGATGAAAATGCCCCCCTGGACAAAGTGTGTCTGCTGGGCTGTGGCATCTCTACTGGATACGGAGCGGCCATCAATACTGCTAAAGTATGCCTCATTTAATTAATGTGCATGTTTTTATAATTACTTGAATGTTTCCTTTGGTCTAAATGTCACATGGTCAATAAACACATATTCACCCTGGTAGGTTGAAGCCGGCTCTACTTGCGCTGTGTTCGGTTTGGGAGCAGTTGGTCTCGCAGTCATAATGGGCTGCAAGTCAGTCGGTGCCACCAGGATCATTGGCATTGACATCAACCCAGACAAGTTTGAAACTGCCAAGAAGTTTGGAGCCACTGAGTTTGTGAACCCCAAGGACCACAGCAAGCCCATTCAGGAAGTGCTGGTGGAGCTGACAGATGGAGGTGTTGACTACTCCTTCGAATGCATCGGCAATATTGGCATTATGGTAAACTGCAGAAACATCAGCTGTTTAGATAGGGATGAACGAAAGCTAACTAATACAGCCATCCAGATGTCTGCAGCAGAACTGTAGATCTCAGCTTAGTTGAATTTGTCATTGTTCCTCAATTTTTTGCTGCCATGGTAACTCATAATTAGAGACCGCATAGTTACCACTATTGTAAGTGCATAATTGCCCAGTTCTTGTATATGGCTTAGGATGCTCATTATTGTGACCTTTTCTCTTGAATTCTCAGAGAGCTGCTCTTGAGGCTTGTCACAAAGGCTGGGGAACCAGTGTCATCATTGGTGTGGCTGGGGCAGGGCAAGAAATCTCCACCCGCCCTTTCCAGCTGGTCACAGGGCGTACATGGAAAGGCACAGCTTTTGGTGGTAGGTGTATTTTAAAAAAAAAAAATAATAAATGCAATTAGGTATTTTTATTTATTTAAATCACATATTAATTGTGATATATGATTTTATATTATTGTTGTATGGTTATTTTATTTTAATATAAATGTTATAATGAATTTTACTTTAATATTATATTAATTATTAGATATGATTTTCTTAGTTTTGTATAATATTATTAAATAATTTCATTTAGTTTTTTTTGTTGTTTCTATTTTTTCACCTTTTTAATTGTTGTTACCATTTACATTTTCAAATAGCATATATGATATGCTTTTAGTATGTAGCATAAATATAACATATTAGGTAATTAACTTTATAACAGAAGGATATTCTCTTTGCTTTTAAGGTTGGAAGAGTGTGGAGAGTGTTCCTAAGCTGGTTAATGACTACATGAGTAAGAAGCTGATGGTGGATGAGTTTGTTACTCACACATTGCCCTTTACCCAGATCAATGAGGCCTTTGACCTGATGCATGCTGGGAAGAGGTACATGACTTATAAAATACCAATTTTTTTATTTTTATCGGTGCTGTTTGGTAATATCCTATTAATGCAATGTGGGAAACAAACTGATATCTTAATGCAAACTTTTCTCTTGTGCTTCTTCCACAGTATCCGAACCGTCCTGCAGCTTTGAGCCTCGGGTTAAAACATGAGACCTGCCATGAATAAGACGTACTAATCATCAACATCCTTGTCTCAATAGTTAGTGTTGACTGTTGTTAATTAATGTTTATTTGTGTGTAGAGTTCTAGTTACACACTGAATAAATGTACCAAACACAAAACATTTTGTGCCTTTTTTTTATTCTATTTTTTATAGTTAAAATGTTGAAATATTAATGGTTTGCATCAAATTTTATTCTGTGTAAATCTGCTCTGTTATAAATCTTGAATCGAAAAGTTTAGATATTGGCCTGTAATTAGATCAGACACATCACATCACCCTGTGACAAACAAAGACACTGACAGGTTATGATGTGTTGGTTTATGTCAAGAAAATGTCATTATTGAGCGAAAGACACTTAATGACAGTTGTCATAAACATGCATAAACCCTACTTCGTATTCAAGACATGTCATGTCATGGTTATGAAGGTGTCATGTCAGTCTTATGCACACCCTTTCAAGTAAAGTGTTACCAATATTTATTTTCAGCAGGGGACAAAGAAGGTGAAGCATGTGTAATGGGATGTTTTTCACCATTTGGCATGATGTGCTGAAGCACTGCACCAATTCCATAAGCTGAAGCATCGCATGCTAAAGTCAAAGGCGGTTTTGGATCATATTGTACTAACACTTCGTCACTAAAATTGGAAGTCTTATTCGGCTATTATTAACAGCTTTGGTTCAAAATGGGTCTTAATATTCACAATTTCTTCAAATGTTTTATCCTTTGGCTTTGCAGGCTGAACCAGGCCTAATCCATAATGGACGCTCCATTTTAATAAATTTGACTACTTTCAGTTATAGAAAATGTAAAATTACTCACTATAATACATTTATACTTATCAATCTATTATATTATGCATGAATGAAAACTTAACTAAAAAAAAAAAAAAAAAACTAGTGTTTTCTCAAGCAATGAATCATAAACAACCATAGCTTTACGTCGGGAGTTCTCTTCTCTCTGTGTCCTCTAGGGGTCGCTGTCTAAACGCATGCTCCTCATTCACTCACATGTGTTCGCTTGAGTTTGGCCAATCAAATGGTGTTTTCACACACGGAAAGACCCTTCACATTTGTAGAAGATGGCGACTGCTGAACCGGTGAGTCAATAAGTGCCCCAACAAACATTGTGATTATAGTCGTTGTAGTTGTTAATATTAAGTACGTGTTTTATTTTAGTCACTGTTTGTGTAGAGGGATAAATATGTTGCTGTGGAGTGGTATCGTTAAAGCAAACAGTCAATTGAGCTATCGCACAAATGTGTTTAAAGGATACTGTGCAAAAGTGTTAAATATGTAATGTGTTTATCTGAAAAGGGGGGCTGTGAGCATATTTGATGTTTTCTGTGTGAATTTAACATGTGTTTAAGCCATCTCTGTTTCTGCCATCTAGACTTATGGTTTGCTGATGTGTCACTGAAATATAGTGTGGTTTGGTTTTAGTCTGTATGGACAACGCTTCATGCAGCTCAAAAAGCTGATATTTTATTAAAACTAAATATAAGTAAATAAGTCTAGTTGTTAGATGTTTAGTTTTTAAGTTTGTAATGTTTAGATGGACTTTTGGTCAATGTCAAAATTTACAGTTAACACAGTTACTTGTTTAGTACAGGATTATTGGTCTCTCTCCCCTTTTCTTTCTAAACATACATATTTGTTATTATTATTACGTTATTTGAGTATGCAGTAGGATATTGAAAGGGTCCCTTGAGGTTCTTCCAGGTTCAGAGCCTGAAAAACCAAAAATGGTTTATTCTGTTCAGTCTGTTTATTTTTCTAGTGTCAGATATCTTAAACAAGTTTAGTGTTTTGTTAATTCCTAATATTTAAAGATGAACGTATATGAATAATGTATATTGTTTGAATATTCAGCTTGTAAATCTTTAGGTAAAATATTGGAAATGTAATAAACATTAAATGTAATGTAGTGGAAATGTTCCTTGTAGAAAAATTCAACAAATCCACCAAATATAGGAGAAGAAAAAAACGCTGAAAATACGCAAGTGATTGTGAGTCTGGAAGATTACATTAAACATCCTCTGCAGAACAGGTGAAGTCACCCAGGCCACACACATTTCACAGTTTTTGTGCATTTTAATGCAAAAACAAATCTGTACAGTGATCTGTTTTTTTGTTTTTGGGGAACAGATGGGCTCTTTGGTTCTTTAAAAATGACAAAAGCAAAACATGGCAGGCTAATCTCCGTCTCATCTCAAAGTTTGACACAGTGGAAGACTTCTGGGCGTAAGTATTAACAAGAGGATATCAAACGACACGGACAGGATGAATGATTAAGAAAACCTTTGGTTAAATAAACAGATTGGTAGTTGTAAAGCAGCATTGTGGCACTAATGCAGGTTTTGGTGTTCTGTTCCCAGGTTATACAATCACATTCAGTTATCAAGTAACTTAATGTCAGGATGTGACTATTCCCTCTTCAAGGTAAGGCACAGTATTGCATTTTCAAGATATACTACTATTTTGAATCCATCTAAATTTATCCTTGCACTTTTCGGAGCAGGATGGCATTGAGCCCATGTGGGAAGATGAGAGAAACAAGCAGGGCGGCCGCTGGCTGATCACCCTGTCCAAACAGCAGCGCAGAGCCGACCTGGACCGCTTCTGGTTGGAGACAGTAAGTCCGCCCTCTGTCTAGTCGGTTTAACTGCATTATTTGCAGAACATAGAACCTGAAAGCTTAGATGCTTTCTCTCTCTCTCTCTCAATTCATTTTTATTTTTATATTTTTTTAGCTTTTGTGCCTTGTGGGAGAAGCATTTGATGACCACAGTGATGATGTCTGTGGTGCTGTCGTCAACATCCGAACAAAGGGAGACAAAATAGCGATATGGACGACAGACTACGAGAACAAAGATGCTGTTGTACACATAGGGTAAAAATAGTTTTGAAAAATGAGACCAATATGAATACCTAGGTTAAAATTCTCCACATCTATTTTTGAAATGCATGTTATTTATCTTGTTACCTCAAAAGGTCATAACTTGATCTTCAGTTGAAACTGCAGACTTGTCTCTGGTGATGTTTGCTGTACTTCTCCATTCATTTAGTCCTCTCAAACTCAAATTCATCTGCCTCCATTTTTAAAGTCCGCATGAAGTGGAAGTCTTTACATCCGTATTGTGATGTATATCCCAAATGTTATTATTATTCTAGTCCAATTTTTCGTTGTACTCGGTTGTACATAACCAATATGGAAGAAAAGATCTGCCGCTGCTTGTTTAATTGTGACTTTAATCTTTACACATCTTTTCATTTGTGGTTATAAGGTAGACACACATTATTATGTCTTGCCTTCATCTGTACATTTCTACATTTGTATCTGTTTATTCACAGGCGTGTGTACAAGGAAAGATTGGGTGTGCCACCAAAGGTCATCATTGGATTCCAGTCACATGCTGACACGGCCACCAAAAGTGGTTCCACCACCAAGAATATGTTTGTTGCTTAAGGAGCCTTTTAAACAGTGGGTACTTTTTGATATTAGCAAGATTATTCATGCTATAATTTCATTTCAGATGCTGCAACAACAGTCTGAATCTTTATCATATTCAAATCTTCATTGAAAGAGATAAAACTGTCCTGGGATCTGACACTAAACAAATTTAAGGCCTTCAGATATTTACAAAACTGTACAGTGTATAAACGCAGCCACGTTCTAACAAAAAAAATAAAAATGTTTCTATATATTATTAGCATATATTTCGCTTGTGGGGATGGGAAGTGTATTCAATTCAATTTATGAATGTTTTTCTTTTATATTCTGTTAATCTTTTTATTTTGAGTTGCAGTTACTAAATCTTAAGTGTAATTTATTTATATTTTTTTACTCAATACATTTGTTTTTGCTTTGGGGTTAATGTTCGATTGATGTGGAGTGGTCATGATATTTCTAATTACACTATTAAAACTGTTCTTGTATTGCAGCTTGAGAATGTCAACGGTTAATTCTTTTTAAAGACTTGTATAAATCTGTATTTTTGCAGTCTTGTTCTACATTCCTCATGTAAAGTGTTCAAGGCAGTATTTAGAAAACTGATCTCCAATTCTAACATTTTCCTAAGGGGTTTCATTGAGTAGCCTGATAAAACGTATATAGAAACCCCTTTCTTGAAAATGGGTGCTAATGAAAATGTATGGAAATTGATTGTAAATAAAAATGTACAGTGCATTGTCTATATCCAGTAAAGAGCCTCTGAAATGCATATCTTGATGATAAATAAAAATCCTTTCTGAGATTTTTGAAATGTTGGGACCATTATTTTATTCCAACCATTTTAGCAAAATATTTCCCCCTTTTTTCTGTCTGTCAGTATGAATAACTGCGATGTTAAAAGCCTTATCAATTTTGCATTGATTCCAACAATTAAAAAAATTAAATAATAATAATTCACAATTTAGAATTGGAAATAATTAAGCAAAATTTCTTTAATGCTGTGTCTGTTAAAGAATACCAGAATATTCACACTGTGATTCACATTAATGCCAGGTTGTACAACCTAATTTCCATAAAAGCTTTTTGTAACATTGGATATTTTTTTGTTTGTTTGTTGTACTTTAGTCTGGTATATAAAGTTAAAGAGAATCCCAATAAAACGCCCAAACTTTTCTGGAAATGGGCTTGTATTTCAGAGCTAAATGTATTTACTCATAACCAGAGAAATACTTTGGGTGAATAAAACTATTTGTGCCACTTAAAGTTCGACATCCTTTACTGTTTCAATTGATCTTGATGCCAGTTTCTGATACCAGCTTGATCTGGTTGGCCTACAGACTGGGTTGGATCTTCCTCCACACGCTCAAGATGATGATCCAAAGTACTTTCAGAAAACACAGATGGTGTCCTGCTCCGGGCATGTCTGGGTCCATCCTCCTGGAAATGTGATAGGCCTTTGGTATGATAACTTGGGCTGGGGCTGGCAGAGGACAGGGTTCTCTGGCTCCCATTTAGGTAACTACCGTAGTTCACAGAGTCCTTTGAATCCTGCCGTGAGTAGAAGGAGTTGATGTGCGAGCCCTGGTAGTTGTACGCTCTCCAACCTGGCCGTCTCCTGCGGTGACATCTGCATTTCAGGATGCGGATGAAAGCTAGCTTGAACTCCCGGCTGTAGCAGGGATAGATGATGGGATTCAGGCAGCTGTTGAAGTAACCAAGCCAGAAGATGATTTTGAAGACAGTTTCAGGGGGCCTCAGGCTGGCGTTGAATGCGACTGCAAAGAAAAAGCACACCGGTAAAGGTTGAGTTATTGTGATTAAATCATAGTCATATGGCATGAGTTATTCAAATTACAAACTAGATTCGCATTGCACTTGTCATCATATTAAGAATTTGAGAATGACACAATTTTCAGAGGACGCCTAAGCCATGAAGTGAATTTCAGAGAAAACTTGACAATTTTTTGTAATGCTGTGTGTGAGTGGGATTAGTGTGTCTCTCTCTCTCTCTCTCTCTCTCTCTCTCTCTCTCTCTCTCTCTCTCTCTCTCTCTTTCATTTAACACATAGCTGGTGTGCCCCCTGTTGGCACAATTCGTCACTGTTCGTGATTGTTCCCCCTGCCATACAACTGTTTTTTGTTTTTGAAGATCTGTTATTTGCTTTAGCATCCAGCAGGTGGTAGCATCGCATTCTTAGCAAAATTGTCCACTTTCAAATTGGCATGAAACTAAAAATGTGTCATTGACAACAAACTTAATGGAAAATATGCATAGCATTTATAAAGAAGGAAGTTATCATACAAAACAGTTTAAATAAATGACTATATTGTGTTTATTCTTTGATGTGAACTTGTAAGAAAGGTCGTGTGGTGCATTTAGACACTGGGTATACATTTCAATCAGAAGTAGTTTGGATGATCAAGCTTATTTTTAGGACACATAGAACTAAGTTAATAAAGATATCATGCTACTAAAGTGTTCTTTTACAGTATAATTTATAAAACAGTAACACAACTCTGTGATTTAGGTAATAGTTGAACTTTTGAAAATGTTTTACAATTGGTAAGATAAAACCACCTTAGTTCCATCATCTCAACAGGCGTTTTTGAAATATGAATGTGTGAAAGATATGTATCTGCTGAACCAGTTATGAGTTGATAACCAAATATGAAGCGCTTCATGTGTTTATCACAAAACCAACATTTGTAGAAAAGGTGTATTTCTGATTTTTCCCAATTTTTTCTCTCTCTCTCTCTCTCTCTCTTTAAATTTCAGTGGTTGAGCCATGGATCTGTGCCATGAACTGCTTTAGGCTGAGATCCCTGGTGTGTAAACCGGAAGCACCTCAGTGCTGCAGTGCACCTCATGAGCAGTGCATTGACCCACTGCATTCAAAGTACCATGGGAACCATGAGACTTGGCTGAAATAATGGATTCACGAGTGAAGGCCAAGTGAGATCAAGGCTTCATCCTTCTCAAAGAAATCATGAATGGACTTTAAATAGAGCTTAATTAATGTTAGCACAGCAAAGCAGCTCACTTAAATAATAAATAGTCTCATTATTATAACCGCTCTTGAAAAAAAAAAATCTTCTAGAATGTAACTGTTCTAGAACAATAGGATTCAGAGGAAGCAAACAAGTTGAGATACTGTCCACATCCTTGCATCCTGTTTTTGTACAACTTTTATGCAGACAAGTGGCTCGCTTTTCTTTCATTGTCTAGTATGACAGGTTAGGAAACTTCTCAAAGATTTATGTAACAAGACTCATAATCCCTGTTAGCATGTGCATATTAGGCTATGTGTTCAGCAATGAATGAGCCAAAATTATGAGCAGATCTTCTTAAGCTAAATACCTATATCAGTATCCCACATACACTGCACTGTAAAAAAAAAAAAAAAAAAAAAAGTTACATTTACGGGAAAAACTGGCAGATGTGGTTACCAGAGTTTTCCAGAGTTATGTTAAAAATACAGTAGCAACATTTTACAGACTTTTAACCGTATTTAATTTTACAGCAATAAACCGTATTTCATTATCTGATGTAATATTAATTTACTGACCTTTCTTTTGACCTGACTATCTGTATTGTTCAATTGTAATACACTGACAACCAGCAATCACTGCAGTAATGAGAGTCAAATGATCAATCAAAGCTCATCATAATCAGCTCTTCCACAAGAAATTTCACATATAGAAGCTGCACAGTGTCATTCACACAAACATTGTTGTTATTAATTTAACAACATTAAATGTAACATAAAACCCTAATGTTCATAACTGTAATTCATAACTGCAAGAAAATTATGAAGAAACAGTTAAAATACGTTAAATGTGAAGTGTCACGCAGGGAACTGTGGGAATGTCAACTTACATTTTTTTTCACTGTAAATTATACAATGACTTGTTCTTTTTCACTGTTCATTAAAAATTACATTAAAATGTACATTAAATCAATGTACCATTATATATATCACAGTTATTTACCGTTTATAGTAAGAAAACCTTCTTTTAACCAATTAACAGTTTTTCACTGTAGCATTTTTGCAGTCTTTTACTGTTAAAATCGCGATCATTTTTTACAGTAATAAAAAATTTAAATGAAATTATTTTAAAGATTCAAAGTTTTAACAAGTTTTCATTTAAACACAAAGTGACCATGGCATGTATAAATTAACTTGAAACATTTTATCATGATGTGTTCATGTTAATATGACCTCTGTATCTACAGTAATACCCTGTAAGGGTCTATTAAACGCGTTACTGTTTTCCACGTAAGTTAAATTCAAAGAAAAGCACTGTTGCCTAATTAAGAACCAGGCCAGCTGAACTTTGAAGCACACTGCCCTGCTGAGATAACCCTGTCTGGGACAGGAATGACTACTATGCTTATTCATTAATAATACACTGCCTTTGAGTCTGAATGGCTGGGGTCCAGGGGCTCGTTCTCATACTCCCTGCTGTGACAGCCAAACGACGGATGCAGCGGACCCCACACTGGGGGCCCCGTGAGAGGAACAGGAAACAAAGTACAAAAAGATTTATTATGTCTTAACCCCTACTCTGCGGTCTCCCCACTGACCTCAGGCGTCCAGCAGCAGAAGATATTGTGTTGGATAAATCATTTGTACGTATGTGTCCTGTGAGTGTAAGGAAAATCTATTTAGTAGAATAAGTGAGTACAAAACACAGAATTGACACTTCCACTTATATTTAAGCAATTTTTAATTCAATTATTATTTAGTTAATTATTATTTTTAATAAGTTTTTGTTTATTATTATTATTATTATTATAAATATAAAGTTATTCATTTTGTGATGTTCCTGTCGACCTATAACTAGAAATAGAATTGAAATTTAAAAAAAAGTTTTCCATTAACCAAACTCTTAAGACATAGACAAATTACGATGATTCATTATTTGCATTCAATTTAAAAAAAGTAATAATGATTACTTCTTGTAAAGATTATTTCATTAATTATTGATTATTTTAGCAATCAATTGCCTAAGCTGGTCTCCTGAGCTGATCTGCTGGCTGGTTTTAAAGAGGTTTTGGCCAATTTTCTACTGGTCAAACTGGAAGACCAGCAAGAATATCTCAGACTGGCATTATGGTAATGTGTGTGTTTGTGTGTGTGTGGCCTGGTAAACCCTATATTATGGGGAAGAAATGTCAACAAAGATGGCATTATTTGAAGTCCTTGACCTTGTGTGGACATTTTTTGTCCCTATGAGGAAAACAGCATCATATTAATAATATGAAAATATAGAAATGCAGAAAGTTTTTGTGTAAGGGGATAGAGTATACAGTTTGTAAAGTATAAAAATCATTAAGTCTATGGAAAGTCCCCATTTACTACATACAGTGTGTGTGTGTGTGTGTGTGTGTGTGTGTGTGTGTGTGTGTGTTTTCTTTAGAAAGATTTTTGTATATGGGCTTTCATAAATACAAGGGGATATTTAATAGACCTATCAGTATTATACAAAACATTAATTAAAAAAATGGCCAAAATGGTTAGATCATTTTGTATACCTTTATATGTTCTTCAAAAGAAAGAAAGAAAGAAAGAAAGAAAGAAAGAAAGAAAGAAAGAAAGAAAGAAAGAAAGAAAGAAAGAAAGAAAGAAAGAAAGAAAGACGTACGCAGCTTTAACTGCTTTATAGCTGGTCTGTCAACTGCCTGCTGGTTTTTAGATGTTCAGACTGGGAGAGTTTAAACCAAGACCACTGTGGTGGATGTATATTAATAAGCCCCATAATGTTCTATTTCATTTGTGGCTTCTCTTTGTGACAACTTAGTGTGACAACATGATTGGGAGAAGGGGGACAATTTGTAGAACTGTATATAATATAAACCTACCAAGTGGTAAAGTGAGGAAGAATGGCAACCAGCACAGCGTAAACATTCCAACCACCACCCCCAAGGTCTTAGCCGCTTTCTTTTCCCTGGAAAACTTCAGGAATTTGACCGTGAGAGAATTCCTCGCCTGATGAGCGCGACCTCTGGCTGCAGTGCTGGTGTCCTCGTGCACCTGCGAACCCCTGTGAATCCTCAGTGTTATTTCACCCGAATTCATCGTTTCCGTCTTCACACCAGCTTCTAGATTCTTCGTTGTCCGTTTAGCCACTACGTAAACACGGCAGTACATGACTAGAATAACAATTAAGGGGATATAAAATGAGCCGAGCGATGAGAAGAGCGCGTAAAAAGGTTCCTCTGTTATTGCGCACACCGTGTGGTCCGGTGACGGAGGCTCCTTCCATCCTAGCAGGGGTCCGATAGAGATGACCAAAGACAGGACCCAAACACCCAGCATGGCCAGCAAAGCTCTGGGTCCCGTCACGATGTTGGGGTATTGCAACGGATGGCTCACTCCGATGTAACGGTCAATGGATATTACGCACAGACTCATGATGGATGCTGTGCAACATAACACGTCCACAGCGGCCCAAACATCACAGAAAATCCTCCCGAACACCCAATAACCCAATAGTTCCAAGGTGGCTGATAAGGGTAACACGGTTGTGCTCAGGAGCAGGTCGGCAATAGCAAGATTTACGATGAAATAATTAGTTGGAGTTCGCAGGTGCCTATTGCACACAACTGACAGTATCACTAGGATGTTTCCAGCCACCGCGAAGATGATGAATGTCCCCAATGCCAAGCCGAGCGGGACGGCACGGGACAGGAGTAGAGGCTCGAGTCCTGTGCCATTTAACTCGGAAGAGTTTGAAAACACCGGTGACTCTTCATACGCATCCAAAGAACCGATTCCCCAGGACAGTGTGACTTCATCTTCATTTTGTTGGTTCATTTTGGCGAAAAATGTTCTCCATTGCTGATACGTTGGTTAGCCGCTTGAGTCATTAGGTAATGAATGACTAGAACATTGCGTGAGTTACTAATGAGCAATATGTTTTCATTCTGATGCTCTCATGTAATGTGAAAATAAGAGTCTCTGTCTCAGGGGTAAGACTTTAATACCGCCCATCTCTGCTTCAGTCTCTCCAAACTGCATGTAGATTTTCTTTTAAACAGAGGATGAGTGCTGCTGAAGATGCACATTCTCGAGCCATATGAGCAACTGGAGACCGTCTTAAACTTTTTAAAAAATAAAATATAAAATAAAACAAACGTACAGACAGTTAAATCTCGTTTTTTTTTCTCTCAAAATGCCATTATTTCAATGTTATTGGTGATCGCGAACGAGAGGATCTGTTTAATTGTTAAACTAAATAGGCTACACTCAAAAATGCATTTATTTGAAGAAGTTTTTTACACACAATTTCAAAAATCAGTTCAGTTGGTTTGGGGTCAAATTAATTTATTTTTAATTAATTAATTTGTAGAATGTTTAACTTAACATTATTAACATTTGTTAAAATGAATTTTCTTAAGGTTTGAATTATGTAATTTAGTCAGTAAAGAAAAAAAAATCAAGTTTTCAAGAACATTGATGTGAAGCATTCAGAGTATGACATCACAGGTTTATTTCTGGCTTACACTTACACAGACCAGACCACAAAACATTCATGCCACTTTTTCTGCACACATTTGTCTATGCAAATACTTTATTAGCATAGCTCGTGTGGAGTCTGAAGAGTGCTCGGGTTGGAGACATGAGGTTTTAATTTCAAGGTGCACAATATATATATATATATATATATATATATATATATATATATATATATATATATTAAAACTGACATCAAGTTATATAGCCTACGCATCTTTATTCATTCCCTGTGAGTCGAACATGACCTTGGCATTGATAGCACTTGGTTTTGTTATAGTTTTGTCCGATACTGCATCATTTACAGCAAATTGACGTCCAGACTGCCATAAATGGCATCTATTTTATCATCATAAAGCTATTTTATTAATGTAGGCCTATTTATCTCTATAATTTTGCTAAGCAAAATGTGTCCATGCTTGTGTTTATATCTAAATAAAGGTGTATTATATATACAATATTTAAGCGCAATAAATAAAAAAAACTTATAAAAGTATTTGTGGTGAGCAGGACGGCCGAGGGACGTGAGAGAAAGTCGCGAGGCCGGTGGTGCGATTGCTAATGAGCAGCACCTGTGAAGCACACCGGTCTCGCATCTCTCACGAAGGAGCGGAGGCATAAAGGGGGAGCGACGGAGTGGATGATCGAGAGAGGAACAGGCCTGCTTTTATTTGGTAAGCCAGCAGTCATGGTTTATTTTGGGTAGCAGTCGTCCGCGAGGGGCTGCTGGCAGGTAATTTGTTTGTTTATTTTATTTAAATAAAGTTTTATTTTATTATTATTATCTGGTTCCTGCCTCCTTCCTCCCTGAACTTTGTTACAGTATTCAAAACACTGTCATGGAAGTCCACTGACTTGAGAATGCATGTGCAGCATTAACAAAACTGGAACAAAATAAACAATGACTTGTACCTGATGACAACCGAAACATAAACCTCACCAAACAGCAGTATAAGCCTAAGAAAACATCATAAAGCTAGAGAACAGTCTTCATCTTTTGCTTTAATGGTGATTGGCATCCAATCATAAGGTGCATTATCGCTACTGGAGTGTGGGCCTGAGTCAACTTCCTCCCATAGGCGTCGGAGACAATTGGGTTAGACAAGATCCACCCACTTTTTAAGAACAATGATGTTGGACACACTTACTTTTACCAAAGCCTGTCTATATTAGACATTCTCTGCTTTTACCATCTCTAATTCAGGGCATATGTCTGTTCGCTTTTTTTCCTCATGCTATAAAGAGCCTAAGTTCCTCCCCTCTCTGCTTTCAGCTCATGGGACCTCATGGGGGGAAAAAAAAAAATAGTTGCCATGTTGCAAGGTTGGTATTCCGCCTGGGAACGCTGAGGGAAGCGGGGAAAGTCACCATTCTCTACACAGAACAGGTTATTGAACCATTCAAATGATTTCTAGATGAAAGCTTCTAGACGTAAGGTTTTAGTAAGTTGAAATAGTTGCCAAGTGCCCTTTTAAAATCAATGTATACTCCCAAAAGAGCAAAGCACAACATTAAAATCCAGCTCATTCTCATCCCAAGGCGTCATCTAACTGACGCTTTTGACCATGCGTCAACATCCAACGCACATGGCACCCTTTAGCGTCAACATGAGACGCGCCTCCTAGTGGCCTAAACCTAACCCTACCATAGGACTAACCCTACCCGCGTCAACTAACTGACTCTAAAGGTTGCCATGTGCGTCCGATTTAGACGCATGGTCAAAAGTGACGCCCTAGGATGAGAATGTGTTGTAAAATCAAAAATGAAAGTTTCAAACAAGTATTAAGAAAATGATTATTTATCATGTATCTGTGTTTGCAGCATAATTTGCTGATGGTAGCTCTCTTGTGGGTAGAGGATGTTAAACTAAGATTGGTAGCAATATGTTCTGATTCTTATGCAATCAAAAGTCTTGAAAGTGGATATAAATCAGCAAGGCAATTTATAATATATGAGATTCTCTCAAGTTTATTAAGGATAAGCAAAGTAAGCTTAATAGTGTTCTTGTAGATTCCTGCTCATGTGGGAGTGGAGGCTAAAGAAGTGGTTGATAAACTAGCTAAGCCAGCTAAAACACACAGAAATAAATGAAGAGTTCAGATGCAAAAGCCTCTAAATGCCATTTGAAATTTTCTTCTAAAATGACCATTTTTATCAAGCTTGTATATTTAAGTTCAGTAATTTCACTTAAATGACAATGAAGATTACCTATTAATTGTCATTTAAGTGAAATTACTGAACTTAAATATACAAGCTTGATAAAAATGGTCATTTTAGAAGAAGATTTCAATTGGCATTTAGAGGCTTTTGCATCTGAACTCTTCAAATATACAAGTGACTCTGAGCAAAAAAAAAAAAAAAAAAAAAAGAGGTTAAAGGTGAAATTAAAGAATTTATAAACAATACATGACTAGAAGTATGGCACAGTGATAACAATATAGTATATAGAAACAAGAAGAAAATGGAAGAAGATTTTTTAGACATAGAAAAGAAGATACAATTATTTCAAGCATTTGAATATAGGACACAGATTGAATTATTCTTTGTTCAAAATAGGAAAACATAAAAAGGGTAGGCCTAAATGTAATTATTGTGATCAGGCAGAAACAATTGAACATGTTTTAATAAAATGTGTAAAACATGTAAAAGAAAGGTTAGAATTTATGAAGTGAGGAACCTGAGTGTTGAATAATTCAATATAGGCCTATTGAAAGTATGAAGAAGGTAAAATATATAGTGCTATTATAAAATGTGTTGAAGCAATAGAAATAGTCTGGAGAATTTAAAGTAATTATGTTAAAATTATTTTTTTTTTCTCATACTTTTGTTTAAGTTGTTGATTTCTCCATGCTCATTCAACCCGATCACACTATGCATCTCTATAGCACGCATTGTGTTTATCGAGCAATTTAATGAGTTTTGATGAAAATTAAACAGAAAATTATGCAGTTTTTACGTGCATATGATACGCATGGGTATGGTTTAGAGTAGGTTTAGTAGTGGTGTCGGTATGAGTGTTTTATCCGTTTTTGGTAGGATCAGTGTTGTGGGGGGGGTACGTGTGTATTACACGCAATAAAGTGCATATCAAATGCACGCAAAAACTGCCTATCATACGCACGTAAAAACTAATTTTCGCATAGAAATTGCATGATAAACACTAAGCATTTCATGAGATCAGGCTTAATAGTGCTTCACACTCCAGTCCAGTTGGTGGCGGTAATGCACCGAAAGTTGGTTTGCCAACCGCCATAAAACTCAGAAGATGAAGATACATGAGAGCACGGTGCAGCTGAAAACTATTTGGGGATAAAAGGAATAGTTTGGGAAACAGTTAGGGATAACGTACAGATACTCAGTCTACCCAGCAAAATGGTGGTAAATATACTACAATGGAATGCTAGAAGTTTGATAGCAAACGGCCAAGAATTTAAGAAATAGGATGAGAAAAACCTAATATCATATGTGTGCAAGAAACATGGTTGAAATCAGAGTTAAAATTGTATTATTAAAGCAAGAAACAAAGCTTTTAAATCTGTTAATAAATACCATTCTCAAGATGCTTTGAAAGATAAAGAAAACAGGCAGTAGTAAAGACACAAAAGTGCAACTTTTGGAGGATATTCTAGTATAGGAAACGACAAACAGGAAGCATGTCAGTGAGTGTTACAATATAAAAGACATAAAAACATAAACCAAAACCAAACGTGACAAAAGCTAACATAATGGTTGTTCTTCATCCATTTTTTTATTATTATTTGTAATTTTCTAAGTAAGCTACTAAAGGGCAAGTTTCCTTGGTAGAAAGAAACCACTAATATCAAGCTGCTGAACATTGATGTTAAAATAAAGTATATAGAAGATTGTATGCAATTTAATAATGATTTTCCTACACCTGAATTGCAATGAATTATAGGCCTAATGCTTCATTGTTTAGGCCATTGTTGCACATTCAAGTTAATTTGTCTGCTCTTAATTTGTCTGTTTCTGGCTTTGTTTCTATTATCAGTCTTTTCGAAATGTTGACAAATTTCCATTCTCCATTCATATCTGCTGTGTTGTAAATTGTCTAGAACAATAATATTAGTTCACCAAATTGAGACTAGTTTGACAGCTGAGATTCTTCCTCTTTTTAGCGTAGCGCTTGGGAATGAGATGAATAAAACGAGCTGTTTCTCTAATACAGATTGATCCTAGTTGAAGGTGTTTTACTGTAGAATCTCCTTTTACAGTGTATTATTAGTCCATACTGGGGGTTAATCTTTTTCCAGGAAACTTGCCCATACATAATAATTAAGCTCCAGTTGTTTTTCATGCCAGAGTGCTTTTATTATGATTTGAGGATTTCAGTAGACTTGAAGCATTATCATACATAGAGTCCTCATAAGAGAATATTTTCGACTAAACTTAATGTGCAGCCAGACACTATCAGGTACATTTGATGCTTGGCATGAGGGTCCATGTACACAGTACGTCCTTTTTCAGAGACATATTCTGATAGAGATTTTTTGGTTGTTCAAGCACCTGGAAGGCATTTTCTTTAGAAAGGGAACATTACAACCTCTTGACCTTCCTGGTTATTAATCAGACCC